ATCTTGACTGTGAACACCGGTGGGACAGGCGTCGAGGTACCCCGTATAGCAGACCTGATTAATATGTGGGGTTTGACGTCCCAAGACCACCATATATGATTATGAGAGACGTCGTAGTGGAGGGCTCCAGAAATGTCAACCACCTGGGGTTCATCAACATACACCTAAATCTGAGCAAACGGGCCTACAGCATTTCCCCCGCCATCTAAAATGCAGCTGCCGCAGCCGGGATTGCAACCGAGCCGGGGTCAGCAGCCGAGTACCTTAGCCACTAGACCACCTCAGCGGTTCCATAGAGCAGACCTGAAAACGACAAGCAATTTCGCGTCTTGTAGACTAATACCCCTGTCACACGGCAAATCCAATCTCATTTATAAAGAATGACATTAAGCGGGCCTAGTCTCATTTTACCTGCGTGCTGTCCCACGACAAAAACAAGGGCATTTTGAAATGATGACCATGACTTAAGCTCTTTTAAGCCGTGGATTTCGGGAGAAATAAAAATATACTAAAACTTAAATGCAACATGCGTGTATCCACAAGAAAAAATGTTTTATTTGTAAAAAAGTGCTCCTATAATATAAACGCGGCTGTTTTGCACAACTTTCCACAGCTACACAAAACTCTGAAAACCAACATGGCAGACGATATGACCGGGCATTTTGAAATGATGACCATGACTTAAGCTTTTTTAAGCCGTGGATTTCGGGAGAAATAAAAATATACTAAAACTTAAATGCAACATGCGTGTATCCACAAGAAAAAATGTTTTATTTGTAAAAAAGTGCTCCTATAATATAAACGTGGCTGTTTTGCACAACTTTCCACAGCTGCACAAAACTCTGAAAACCAATATGGCAGACGATATGACCGGGCATGAGTGCTGTTGTAAAGTGAACTGAAGCGGGGCGCATGACTGACTCCCCGGCTGCAGAGATGAGACGGCGGCAGCGATTTCGTGACGTCACCACCTCATGCACCAACACACGTGCAATCAGACAATCAACGTCCGCGACGCAGGCGGCAACGACAACAAAACTAAAATGAAACATGGCCGGCGTCCAGCCGCTGTAGTTGAGAGTAGCTTTTTTTTTCAGATACTTTCGCGCTTGCAATTATGTCACTAAACCAGTAATACATCGATATAGTAGAAAGAAAGATATTTACAAATAATAAAAGTTTCGTATACATAAGTTAACAGTCATTCCCTGGTGTCGAGACTACTCGTTTGGTACGAAATCGAATGCGGATATGTTTCGGGAACTCATTGGACAGAAAATGTCATTTTAGTCAAATGGCATTAGTTTTCTTGTGTGACAGCAAATAAATGACGTTACAAACGAACGTCATTTGTTGTCAATGACATTAGATTTGCCGTGTGACAGGGGCATAACTCCCATGACATCCTCTCATTTTCGTTTAAAGTGGACTTTTCCAATTTTAGAGGGGAGGAAATGCCATATATCTGGTTGCTACAGGTGCGTTTTATTCTGGCAGACAATCCTATAACATCTTTCTAAATGTAATTTCATGTTTACCTTAGCTCGCGGGTTTAATTTCCGGCCACAGCGGCCGCATTTCGATGTCAAACTTAAGTCATAAGAACACCGGTGGGCAGCAATTTAACGATCAAGGTAATTAACACGACGGCATCGAAATTAACCTGGAGTCACTTACCAGGGCGTGCTTCATAATCGCAACTTGGCTTTGGCGCGTTAACCCCCAGTAGTCTTTAACATTACGCGTATTTACTAAGCCTCAGTCAAACAAAATTAAACTGAATGAAGGCAGATACTTGATTAGTCAACTAGGAGTTAAATACGAGCAGTGGCGTGCTCTCAAAACAATATTCTCCCGACCCTCCCCGTAAAAACGTGGACCGAGTGCGTATGCATCTGCAACTGACCTGCCTATAGCACACCACGTTCAAGTATAGATATTGTATCGTATTGCCATGGGTCTTCGTTTCTCGTTGTTCCGACCATCTTGCTGCCGTCTCTTTCTTATATCGTTAGGCATTGCGTGTGTGTGTGTGTGTGTGTGTGTGTGTGTGTGTGTGTGTGTGTGTGTGTGTGTGTGTGTGTGTGTGTGTGTGTGTGTGTGTGTGTGTGTGTTGAGGGGCGTAGCCGGAGGGTAGCATACCGGGCCCGTACTCCCCCCCCCCCCCGAACCCGCCCCCCGAAATTGTTTTTTGACGGACATACAAAGCGAAAAATCGCCATTTCAAGGAGGCAGCCCTCCCAAAGTCAGAAAGATGCCCCCCCCCCCCCCCGCCCAAAAAAGTTTCTGGCTACGCCGCTGGCTATTGGGCAGGCTTTCTGATTTCATTGCATCTAAATGCAGCATTGTTGTCCTACTTCAGTTGCACGATAGAGAATTCCAGTACAGGCCCTACAGGTACATCGGTAATGGAATAAAGGTTCTCACACTACCTGGAAATAAAGTACGCTTCATTCTAAAAGCTACATATTTTCTTAACATCTAGACGCACGCGGTTTCATGAAAAGACTCCGTTCTCTAATTATACCTAATGGCCCCACCGTGGTGGTCTAGTGGCTAAGGTGCTCGGCTGCTGACCCGCAGGTTTCGGGATCGGATCCCGGCTGCAGTGGCTGAATTTTCGTTGGAAGCGGAATTGGCGTAGGCCCGTGTGCTCAGATTTGCGTGCACGTTAAAGAAACGCAGGTGGTCGAAATTTCCTGAGCCCTCCACTACAGCGTCTCTCATAATCATGTGGTGGTTTTGGGACGTTAAACCCCACATATCAATCAATTATACCTAATGTCTCATTGAATTCAGCGATCAGTTGTCTCTAGACAGTGGCACGTAAATACTTATACATATATGTCAAGGCAACGGCTTTGCCTATACGAAACAAGAAATTCCCCGCGGCGATTGCGACTTTGGCAATGAAGACATTTATGCCATTCTTCTAGAATGCCCTCATCCTTACGCATCATGCAAGAAGCCGAAATTAGGTCGCAGACAACTCAGAGTAAAATTATTGAGCCCGGTCGCGACGAGAGCCACAAGAAAGTCGGCTTAATTTTTTTTTTTTTTGAGAGGCCATTTTGAGTGTTTTAGAAAAATTAATTGCACTGTTACTGTGCCTCAGCAGTAATATTTTCTCGGGAATTTACAATATCTTATTGGTTGGCTGCCTTGATGCGGCCTCCTTCAAATATTTCAGTTGAGTGAGTCAAAAATGCGACTCATTGTTAAAAGAGGTCCAAGGCAGCAAGGCTGCGCCTACCCAACTAAAACTCAAGGCTTAACCACCGTTACCATTACTCCTATTTGCCAAATCTATTTTTGCACGTCAGCGCCGAAGCACAGTTTTTGAGCCCTTTATGTCATGTACATCATGTTGCATAACTCAAATAAAATGCGATGCCACCTTGATCGCATATGCATTGCACCTCCTCTTCTTAATTATAATAAAGTAACTCATATATCCCCACTACCTTCACGTAGGCGTACATTTATATGCCGATTTGAAATATCGTAAAATCCCGATGGACTTTGCAGGGTTAGCTGACGGTTAAATCTCATAACTACGAACACACCTGCTCTCTAAGAAAAAAAAAGGGGGGGGGGGGTAAAAACGTATTCCTATCCTCAGGACGGCAAGCTAAGTATTTTTTTAAGAAATTCGCTTGTGTTTTTTAGCATGCAAATAGTCAGTTCTATACCAGGATTATTTACTACGCATTACACAAGCGCTCACTTTATGCGTAATTATAGGTTGACAAAACTTGTGGAGCTTACTCCGACTGACCAATATTTTTCTTAACCCGGCTCACGTGGACCACCACTCACCAAATACTCACCCGGACTCACGGCTCAGTTTGAGTCTGAGTGAGTCCGAGTGAGTCGACACGTGATTCCGTTAGCCTAGAACTATCGTTTTTGACCATGGTGCCAATGCTTTTCAACACCAATATCTCACGTATTCGGTGCTCCCCTTGGCCCCGATTTCTTATAGTCCTTCGACTACGAGTTATGAGTGGCGTTTCATTTGGTGAAAGCAACCCGGACATGAATGCAGGTATAAAGTGAGGCGTGCTGCAAGCTCTACTTTGATGATGATGAAGTCTAGCGACAACATCCGCTTGCTGCAGCCCGCTGCTCACAAACAAGCCATTGCATATCTCCCTTCTTCACTGTGAGGCTGTCTGCAGGGCTCACTGACCAATTGAAGTAAGACTCCCAGAGTGTCAAGTCATGCGGTGACGTCAACGATGTGCAAGCAATCATAACTACAAATCGATTATTTTAGTATGGGGTAAACGTCGCGGTTTCTGTAGAACAAACAAGTATGTCAAATGTTGCCGTGAATAAGCCGCACATGTGCTACCAAGTGAGAGAGAAAACGTGGCGCCACTCTTTATGTGCCAGAGGAGTTTAAATACGATATGTCTCGTAGGTATTCCACTGCACATCCTTTAAAGACTTGCACTTCGTCCCTACCATCCCCAAACAATCACATTTATCAGGCGCCACTAGCATTAGGTCGACGCTAGTTCGGGGATGTTTTGGTTGATAATGCTGCTTGCGGCATCTCCACTGCAAAGGGGTTAGTGGGCGGCGTGAGGTCCCCAAACTGGCATGAACCGACGTCCAGAAAAGCCTATAAAAGAGATACACGTCCAAAGTGCGCGGCCAGAGGACAGCCTCCGGATGGCGGCCACGCTCGTATAGACGTCACTCATCACGCGCTGCGCCCCAGATGCAGTGTTTCTGCCCGCCCGTCCCGTCGAGTTGGCGCTAATGGGCGGCGGTGTAATAATAGCGTTCTCGTTGGTGGATCGGTCGTGAGACCACAACGCCCTCTGACTTTTGACGACCTTAACGCGACCGTCGCTTTGCGCGCCGCAAACGCCCTCTAGCTTCCGCCACGGGTCCTTCCGCCCCAGCTGTTATTTGGTGTGTGTGTGTGTGTTTTTTTTTTTTCTTTTTTTTTTGCGCATCCGGCGCAGCCGCCCGCGGGTCGGCCTGGTGACAGCGGCCGCCAGCGAAGAACAACACCACGCCCGAAGGACCTTCCCGACGCGTGCCCTTCCCACCCGTGCCGCCGCCGCTAACGGCACACACGCGCATGGCGGCCGGCACCGAGAGACGCAGCTGTCGCCTGGGGAGCCACGTGCTTCTGTCACGCTCTTGCGGCACGCTGTTCATGTCTAGCGCCGCTTGAATTGAGGTAAGCGACCCCCTGTACTGCGCAACGCGAGCCAAACGCGCCAAGTCTATCGATGTTTTCGGTGGCGCTGTGCTCAATGAACTGCTTGCTAGGGATCGCCGGCTTTCGTCTATCTGTTGTTGCTCGAAATTATCGAACATAATTAAAAACAATTCAGAACTATTGAAAAGAAAATATTCTTTTTTGTTGTTGTCTTAATGGGCCAGTGACAATCAAAACTTGTATTATGAGGCGAACGCCTTATTAGACAAGTGTAAGCGTAGTCTGTATGAAAACGTACTTTTCGCTATGCATATATCAACTAGTGTGCTCTGAAACTAAAACTTGTACTGTTTCTTTTCTCTGTACCAGTGCATACATAACTTTTGGGAGTGTATATACAAGAGAAAATAACATTTTGGACCTGCTGTGTGAGCGTAATTGATGGCGTTCGACGTAGTGCGCAGGCAACACGTCAGTTGAAAATGAGGTCCAGTGATGTACCTGTGAACTCCGTGTTAAAAAAAAAAAGAATGAATTTACAATGAAAAACCGGCAGGCCTGCGCTGAACGCGCAGCACTGTCACACCGAAAGCTAAAAAAGCGGCCTCTAGGAGGCTTCTTTAACGCTCTTTAATCATTGCGTAGTAGGCAAGTATTCACCACGCTATCCTTCGGAATTCCTCGGCGAAGCGTAGTAGCTGCTGCACACTTTCAAGGAACTTTGTGAAATTTTCTTAAGCTGTGGCTTACCAGGATTAAGTATTATGCCAGAAGCTTTTGTAATCCCCCACAGTGGGCATGCGCCATAGTTAATAGGTGAACAAGATCAAGCTTTTGCAAATAGTTGGAGCATTCGACGACCCACTCGTTGAGCTGTTCACATTATTTGACACTTGGTTGCTGTGTTCTATAACGCTTTATTACTCGTATTAACGCGATCCCTTTCCCGACATCAAGCCTACCTAAGGCCAGTTTGCAAAGAAGTCCCAAGCAACGGCGAGGCAGTTTTTTTTTTTTTAATACTGCCTGGTGGTATTCACCTTAAGGCAGTATTTTAAAGAAAGCTGAGACACACCGGTGCTTGAGACTCCTTTGCAAACTGGCCTTCGGCAGGCTTGACAACGTTTCTCGGGGTAGTAAGAACAAACGAAAATGTTCCTTCATGGTTAGAAAAGGTAGAAGCCTTGCTCACTATGAAGGAATATGAAAGTGGGATGTGCTTTAGCAGTGCTTGATGACAGTAGTAATTGTTCTGTCATGTTTGTTGCGTATTGTAACATATTTACCTCGTCATCTCGTGTGTGAAGTTTAACTGGAAATAAAAAAAAAACTGCCGTGACTCAGTGTGAGAATACTGGGCTGGCACGCAGGGGACCCGGTTTCGAATCCCATTGGATAGCCGGGTATTTTTTTTTTCATCATTATTTACTCAGTTTTTTTTTTTCTTATTTCTTGCGATAGTGGTTACGGACACCCGCTGAGGCAGCAGATCACTACGGCGCGCACGCCACCCATGATGTAATCTCATAACAGCTTTCGTTGCAAAAGGACGAAGAAACCGCGCACTTTTACTGCTGCTACGCTTTCGATGTTTCATACCAACCACAGCAATAAACAGGAACAGGCACCGTTGCAGTAAGCAGCTGGTAAGCCGGTGTAATATATCCTAACACACGTGCCGGTACTTTCAAGCGTGGTCGAGAGATCAAACCTTGGCTAAGTTTTCACGCAAAGTGTGAAGTATTACCGATGCGCAACACTGTCGTCGCTAAGGTCGTATTGCGCCCGTAATTTTCGTACCGCTGTTGTCTTGTTGTGCATTCCTATCGAGCAACACAGGGATGGTGACACGTAAAACACACACTTAAAATGCAAGTAGTGTTAGCAAGTAACAGAGAAAACCCAAACTAATTGGGAACTCGTGTTAGTAACCCTCTTTGAAGGGTAGCGAACCGTATAGTTTATGGTGGAGTCCTTTTTGTCATTGCTTTTTAGGGCTACAGTGTATGTAGACTACCCCCCCCCCCCCCCCCCCCCGCTGTGGCTTACATAACAGCTCGCAAAATTAGTTCGACTACTCCAGGAGACGGACCTCACTTGCACTACAGGTATGAATGAATAATCGACCAATCAACAATAACTATACTAGTTACATTTTAGCTCGTTATTTCATTGCCCGAATTACGTCGCCGTTACAATTTTTCTGGCTAACGCCAGTATCGAAACATTAGTGGGAGAATTCTGCCACGAAAGACGTCCGCAACTTATTTTTGGGCTTCATGTCATAAAAATGTGCTTTCTTCAAACAATCGATAGAAAGGCCGCTGTTACAAGCTGCCACTCTAGCGTCGCCAGCGCGAAGTCGGCGACGAGAATGACAGCAGATTAGTTCGTTCCTTACGCAAGCAGAGACAGTGAAGAGATCAGAGACGTGAGAAAACAAAACAAACTTTACTCTAGAGATATTGCAGCACACAGGATATAGTACAACACTTCAATACAACTAACAAAATACATCAACACTAGATACAACAAAAAATACATATAAAAACAATAAATCAGCTTACGAGGGAGAACTATTACAAACTACACAAACTAACAACAATAGAACTACGGAGGAGAAAGTTCGAAGATATAAACAAGTGAAGGCATACGTGCGATGACCGGCAGCGTTGCGTCCCCGACGATCAGATGCGAAAAGTCGAAGAGAGTTCTGGCACGACTGCGATGTCGGCGGTGTTGCAACGCTGGTGGCTCCGGGAGGCTAGTGCTTGCAGGTGACCTCGGGCAGGTTGAGCTAACTCGAGGCGAAGTCCCGATATCTACGTTGCAGACGTTAATATCGCGTCACAACTAGACGAACGGCTAAGCTTAGGTGGCCAGCCGATACAGAGCCACACTAAAAACTTCTAGAAGAGATACTTTTTGATCTGTTTCTAAACCATGTTGGTCAGTGACTAGCCTGCCTAGCAGGGCAAAATCCTGCGCTTAAATCCCCCTCGTGTCCCCTCGCTCTCTTCCTTGGGGACAAGAGGCCTCTACATGGGTCCAATCATGCGCATTTCATTGTTGGAAACTCCGCCCCAAAAATATACTGACCCCACTTCTTTTTAATTAGGAGAGGGCCCTCAACTAGCGAGAGTGACAACCTATTGGGGTGCTGTCATACGGCTTGGCCACCAGAAGTTTTCCCGTGGAAACGGTCAGACTGTTTGGCTCTCAGCCGGTGCGTCCCGTAGTCTAATCCTTGTTCGGGGTACATCGCGGCCTTCCACGACCTTGCAGACGCCGCCGAAGGTACAAAGGATCAAACGTCGGCGGCGACGTTCGAAGAAGAACACCCCATTCTGCACTTCTCGGCTCTCTTTCATGCGCCCGCCGTTCCCGCTGGTCAGCGGGGTAGTACGGCGACCGTTAATTGCCGTGACGCCGGGTCGCAAAAATGGCAGTCCGTGACAGCCGCAGTGTTTGCCTCGAGACGTGTGACGAATACTGCGGAAACAGATTAAAGCTCAGAAATCGTTCGCGGAGAAACACCTGCTTTATGATAGGGCGGTATACGCCCTGACCGTTAGGCCGCATACGCTAGGCTTAACTGTTATCGCTGCGGCGGGGCACTTGCTGTGCACCATGGCGTAAGACAGTGTTAGGCCAGTGGGGACGAATATGCGAACAGTTATGCGCTGTCGCGGTTTACAGCAAGTAAATAACAGTCCTCTGTATTGCCGGTGGGTGGTAACCTTCCTTTCGTCTTATACGTTCTTGGTAGAAAAAAAAAAAACGCAGGAAGGGGAAGTTGGAAGCTTGCGATGAAAAAAACCGTGAAAAGAGGCTGTGTGCAGTTCTATAGCATTGAAGAAAACAAGTATACTTGTCTGTTTAAACAACCCCTGTTTGCGGATTTTTTCATCGCACTTGGGTAACAGGCAAACAAGCACGAAAACAAACAAAAAAGGTAGCAAAAACATAGCAACGGGCACAGCTGCGACCTTTAAAGCTTGCCCGAAGCGCTTGCTTTACTGTGCAATTTCCTCGTTCAGGTGCAATCGGCACTCATAGTAACTGCTCTTCAGGTGCGCCGCGTCACTCATTTAACATCATTACTCCTTCCGGCTTTTCGGTCGCGCGCTTCTACTCCACAAAAAACATTGCTTTTTACCTATATCCATCATTCGCCAAACCAAAAATAAGGGAGAAGGGAGGGGGGACTCACATGTACTCACTCAAGAAATATATATTGTGCTTTGACTCGGTCTCAAACTCGCCAACATTTTCTTGAGCTGGGCTCTCTCGGACTCAAGCTCACCGAAACATTACACACGCGCACTCACTCATTCTCATGTCTCGTACTGATTCTGAGTGAGTCCGACTGAGTCGAATCATGAGTGAGTTCACCAACCTATACGTATATTTCACTCGCTTCTCTTTTTCGCGCGTTCTTAAAAAATGAAGAATGAATCCTTCTATTCTGTATGACGTGGTATACTGTCATTTTTTCACGTTTTTTTTTATTATTTCGCGGGCATCGTGAACTACCTTGCGTTATCCCACAACTGAGACGCGTTTCCTCGCACGATTCCTTTGTGCCTCGCTCCTTGATGAGCTAGAGCGGATGAATCGTACAGCCGTTTCTCTAATTTTCGCCAGCTCTCAGGGATCCGTGATTGAGCCACTATAACAACCGAGTGTACTTTTGAATGAAGGAAACACCCCTTTCGTTCGGTTACCTCAACGAAATGGCGCAATGGTATGGAAGTTCAAGTCCCGTTTGGCACTGGGAAGAGTACAGGGAAGGTCGCCACGCCGGCAAAGATCCTTACTGGCACTGCGTGCGTAGCGGAACAGAAAGCGCTATTTTCCTCTGACTAACAAGCCTTGAGAGACTTGTGGGCAGGCATAAAATAAAGCGAAGGGCGCAATAGTCTGGCGCCTCGTTCCCAGCCGGGACATTCGTTCCTCGTTGACTTCCTCTCTCGCACTTCGTTCATGACGCTGCTTCTCCGCGCGACGACGAGTTT